TGGGGAGACACATGCGTGACTCTACCTTTCGTGTTTTTCCACGACTTCTTTTGACAAATCAATTCAGTTGCAAAGGCATGCATAAAATATAAGAGAGGAAAGAGAAATGCAGTGGACAAGAGACTTTCGCAATAGGGTCGAAACTTTTTGAGGCATTTTGGTTGCTTGGATATTTTAGGATAAAGTTGAAAACGGGAGGAAATTGTGGGGCAGGTAAATATCATGAATTTGCATTCTCTTTTGCAACCAACCATGAACTAAGTCCACTCTAGTCAGTTATTTATATTTGCAAGACAAACTTTATAAAGCATTCAATTGTTGGAAACCAAAGATTTTCCTTCATCCAGAGAATGTGTGATGTATACGTCTTTCGAAGGGGAAAATTATCCAAAAAGTCCTAAACCTATTACACTTTGCCAATTCAGTCCTAAACCTTTTAAGTTTGCCAATTGAGTCCTAAATCCTTTTACTTCTTGCAAATTGAGCCCATTCGGCCAATTTTGGCCACTTGGAATTGACGTGGACGCCAACTGTCCGGGCACTACTGACGTGGCAATTTTAAATATTTTTTAATAATTTTTTTTGATTTTTTTTTAATTTTGATTTTTTTCCTTTTTTTTTTCCTGGTCTTCTTCCTCTGGTTGGTCCGGCGACCGGCCAGATGCTGACGAGGTCGAATCGGCCAGAGGCGAGGGCCGGCGAGGTCGACCTCGTCGGCCTCTGGCGAAGCTCGCCCCCGCCGACCACTGTCGAGGGCAAGCCTCACCGGCCCCTGGTTGGGCGAGGCGAGCGAGGTCGAACCTTGCTCGACCTCATCGTCCCGACCCAAGCAACGGTGACGGCGAGGCTGACCTCACCGTCGCCTGGGTTGCGACGGTGAGGTCGGCCTCGCTAGATCTAGGACCTCCCCCAGCCAAGGCGAGGCCGACCTTGCCGTCGCCGTCGCCTGGGTCTCCTTGGGTTGCGATGGCGAGGTCAGCCTCGCCTAGCCAAGGCGAGGCCGACCTTGCCGTCGCTGTTGCCTGGGTCTCCCTAGGTCGCGACAGCGAGGTCGGCCTCGCCTTAGCTGGGCGAGGCCGACCTCGCCGTCGCCATCGCCTGGGTCTCCCTGGGTCGCAATGGCGAGGTTAGCCTTGCCCAACCAAGGCGAGGTTGACCTCGCCGTCACTGTCGCTTAGGTCTCCCTGGGTCGCGATGGCGAGGTTGGCCTCGCCTTGGCTGGGTGAGGCCGACCTCGTTGTTGCCATTGCCTGGGTCGGGACGGCGAGGTTGGGCGAGGTTTGACCTCGCTCGCCTCGCCCAGCCAGGGGCCGGTGAGGCTCGCCCTCGCTAGTGGCCGGCGGGGGCGAGCTTCACCAGAGGCCGGAGAGGTTGACCTCGCCGGCCCTCGCCTCTAGTCGGTTCGACCTCGTCGGTGTCTGGCCGGTCGCCGGACCGGCCAGAGGAAGACAGCCAGAAAAAAAAATAAAAAATTCAAAAAAATATTTAAAATTGCCATGTTAACGGTGGCTAGACAGTCGGCATCCACGTTAGCTCCGAGTGGCTAAATTGGCCATATGGACTCAATTTGCAACAAGTGAAAAGATTTAAGACTCAATTGACAAACTTGAAAGGTTTATGACTGAATTGACAAAAGTGCAATAACTTTATAACTTTTTAGACAATTTTCCCTCTTTCGAAGAGATCTAGTTACATCTATTTATTCATCCGGAAAGGAGATTCAGAATATTGCAAGATAGAGGTCATATTTTCCTTCACCTGTGGCTGGAGGAAACTTTTTCCAACAATGATTTTGATCGATGGGTTATAAAATATGGATATCACTCACATGTAAACTTCATAAAAGTGAAATGCGGGTAGTGTTTATATTTGTAACTCACCAATAGGAAGGCTGGTTTCTTCCGAGTAGAAATGGAGAAAAACACGGTCTAATTACTAGGGTACAACAGCTTGCTTCTATAACTGCATCTTAATACTTTCATATTACGGAAAGACATTGGTCATGATCACAAATACAAATAGTATATGACCATATAGGTTCTTCATAAGAGTCATTGTATGTACCGAATATGAATACTAGAAGTGCCAAAAGTTTCGTACGGCGTTCACTATTGTGACAAAAGTTTTTTTCGAATCACTTAGTGCCACTTTTGAAAAAAAACGACCACTGAAGTGTCAACTCCGATTTGGGTTGCCGAAAATCCGACGTGGCCGTATTTTATTAATTTCTCCTATCAACGTGTGGCTTGTCGGTGTGCCCAGTTAGCATATATATATATATATATATATATATATATATATATCCCTAAACAACGTCGTCTACATATTTTGCCCCAAATATAAACCCTAAACTCCGCAGGAGGAGTTTTTTAAGAGCAAGGACGGTGGGGGCAGTGAGTTGATTGAACTAGGAGAATAGATAGAGAATCGATTGATGATACATGATTTGGGGAATGAAGACGGGTTTCAGGGGAAAATTGAGGAAAATTGGTCATCTCCACTCGAGGATTCTAAATTTTGCGAGCTGGGTCAGATCGATGCTGCTCTGATTCAAGTGAGGGTTCCCACAGTTAAGAGAAGGAGGGACAAGTTGATGGAAGAGGTGAGGAAGAGTGTGCGTGTGAGCGGCTGCGGGAGAGTGATGCATTTGGTTAAAGCATTTGAAAATCTCATGAAGGTACCGAACCTGAAGGAGACAGATCCGAAGGACGAGAGAGAGGTTGCTAAAGAGCAGAGTAGGAAGAAGGTCATGAGCTGGGCGTTGCCGGGATTGCCGCCCCAAAGGCCCCAGAACGGAGGTGTCTTCGTCTTCTTTCTCTCTGTCGGAATTGCACTTGACAGCCGAGAATTGAGGCCTGGATTCGCGGGCTACTCTTTCTTCTTCGTGGGGCATTAGCTAAGGAAGTCCACGTGAACTCATTTTTTATGTAAAAATGCCAAGTCAGATTAAACTTTTTACTATAAAAGCTATGTAATATTTTTTACTAGAATTTCTCGTTGGAGGCATTTAAGTTATCGTTTTTTCTCCGATTCAGCACTTAAGTAAGCCGGTGAAAACTTTTAGCACTAAAGTATGCGCTGTATAAAACTTTCGGCATTTTTAGGGTGCGCATGAATACCATTCTGTGCCCGGGCGCTATTTCTGAACAGAAATGATTTTTTTTTATTCTGTGCCCGGAAACAATTTCTGAGTATTTGAAGGCGTTTGATAAATGTCCAAAATTTCTATTCCTAGAGTAGAAAAGAACATAAATGCGTTTGGTAACTACACAAAATTTATGTTCCCAAATAATATTTTAATAATATTTTGAATTGTTTAAATTTTTTTTTTCTTTTTACTTTCTTCTTTGGCCATGGCCGGTTGCCGGCGACCGGCCATAGCCCAGGGCCGGCGAGGGCGTCACGGACCTCGCCGGCCGCCGGCGGAGGCGAGGTCGCCCTCGCCGGCGAGGGCGAGGGTGGACCCTCGCCGCCCGGGCGAGGCGGCCTCGCCCGCAGACGGCGAGGCTCGGCCTCGCCCGGAGCGGCGAGGCCGAGCCTCGCCATCGCGACCCACGGCGAAGCCGACCTCGCCGTGGGTCGCGACGGCGAGGTCGGCCTCGCCCGAGAGGCGAGGCTCGGCCTCGCCGTCGCGACCCACCTGCGGCCGACCTCGCCGTGGGTCGCGACGGCGAGGCCGAGCCTCGCCGTCTCCGGGCGAGGCCGACCTCGCCGTCGCGACCCACGGCGAGGCTCGGCCTCGCTCGATGCAGCGAGGCCGCCTCGCCCGAGCGGCGAGGGTCCGGCCCTCGCCCTCGCCGGCGAGGGCGACCTCGCCTCCGCGGCGGCCGGCGAGGGCCATGACGCCCTCGCGCCCCGGCCGGGCTGGGCGGTGGCAGGCGGGCCCTGGTCGCCGGCGGCCGGCCACCAAGAACAACACCACAAAATAAGAAAAGAAAAAAAAAAAGAAGAAAAAAAACTGATTCTCAAAAATTGTGCGAGAAACAAGAAGCAACTTTTTTTACTTCTTGTTTCTCTTCCAAAACTGTTTCTCGGCACAAATTTTTGCAAAAATGTGCCGAGAAATAAAAAGTTTACCAAACGCATTTCTGTTCCCAAACTATTTCTGGGAACAAAAGAACAGAAATTTTTACTATTTGGCACGTTACCAAACGGGCCCTTAGTGTCCTTATGCTTTAAATTTTTCATATCTCCAGCAGCGTTTTTTAATTTTCTATGGGCTTTAATGTTGATTCCACATGTTCTCGAGCTCCAATAGAGCACTCGAATCAATTAACTAGGACCACTCTCTAAACTTAGGGTAATTATAATATTACTTCAATGTAAACCATCAGTATGTGCTGTTTTGAACCTCAAATACAAAACAAGTCCTTGATGTGTGTGATACAACTCATTGGCCAGGGAGTAGCACGTAGGTGCCATTTCCATAAGCGGATTTGGTTATTGCAGCAGTCCCCATTATTGTTTCCTCAAATGTGTGATGGATGACAAATTGTATGTAGTTTTAGTCTTTCGTTGGCAAAAACCACAAACACTAGGAGATGCCACCAGGCCTAATGATACATCATAAATTCATACTTCAGAGATAATTGAAATGAATAAAGCATAATAACTTCATGCATCACTTGGATTAGTTCATGTAAGTGGTGAATGTGTGTTGCAAATATGGCTCTGTTCCACGTGCAGGGCCTCAAAACTCTGAAAACTCGCCGCCAGCTCTTTCTTTGGCTTTTTACCAAAGCCAGCTCTGCAGATTAGCAAACAAGAGCCGAAATGAAAACTTCTGTTTTGTTTTCATGTAATCAAACGCACCAGACAATTTCGGCAAGGCTATACTTCCCCACCTTTCGTACGACCGAGGCGCACTTTGGATGCAAAGAAAATCTGCGAGGAGTTCAAAGCCACTCACTCACCTTAGTACGGCACTAGCTTGAACCCGAACACGGTGTGTTTATATCGGAAGTCTCTGCACTTTCGGGATGATGCATTTCGCTTCAGGCTTATTCGTCCCAAAATTCCCAAAGCCGCAATCGCTTCCCCGGCACGGCAGACTGAATGGTGTGTTCTGCAGCTTCTGGCGGCATCCAATTTGTCTCCAACTTGGTGGATGCCAGCACATCGGGCAACCTTTCCAGGGACATGCAATGTTTGATCTCCACCTTCTTCAAAGAATTCAATTCTTTCAAGCCTTCGATGGCTCTCAACTTTTCACAATGTTCTAGCTTGAGACTATGTAGATTTTTCAACTTTGACAGGTTAGGCAATTGTTTGATCATATTACACATGGTAATGTGTAGAAACTTCAGTGATTCCACCTCCCCCAAACCTGGAATTTCTGCCAGTTTGATTAAGGCACCGAGCTCTAATTGTTGTAGACTCTTCAAGCATGATAGATCGGGTGTGCTCTCCAGCAATTCGCACGACGATATCATCAATTCCCTTAACCTCTCCAAGTATTTAAGGACAGCGAAGTGCGGCAGTGGACATCCGCTGATAGAGAGAACCGCCAAGCTTTTGAAGTTGGAAAAATCTGGCAATTGCGGGATCCAACCCAGTATCAAGGTTGACAAGCTACGTGCAAGCTGATGTATGGATCGGGCGTCCTTCCAAGGTGATATAACCTCGTTCGCACTCCAAAATGTGATAATTGCATGTGTTCTACACACTTCAAGATGATCTAAATGAACTAGGTTCGAGAGGTTGGGAAGAACAGGGAAGTAAGCAGCTTTAACCACTAGGCATTTCAAACTTGAGGGAAGCTCTGGCAACAGGCAAAGTCGGTAGCTTGTAACTTTAAGAATTTGAAGACTAGAAAAACCACTGATCTTTTTGGGCACTGTTGAGATTGGGGTCTCATATAAGTTCAAGATCCTCAGACGGGTCAAGCTCCACATTTCCCACGGGATTTCATCCGTGAGATGCTGACAGAATGAGGCATCGAGCTCTTCGAGCGTCTCCACCCCTCCAAGAGCACTAGGTATTGTGCGTATCTTTGTGTGTGCCATCTTTAAGACTTTTAGTCTCTTTAGATTTTTAATGGAGTCAGGTAGAAAGGAGATCCATGAGGATTCTAAATCCAACTCGATCAGTGCTTTTAGTTCCCCGATAGAGTCCGGAAGCTCATGTAGATTCCAACATCCATGCAAAAGCAAATGCTTGAGATTCTTTAACCTTCCAATAGAATTAGGGAGAATGGAGATCTCCGAGAATTTTAAATCCAGCTTGACTAATGATTCTAGTTCCCCAATAGAGTTCGGAAGCTCATGTAGGTTTTTGCATCTAGATAAACGCAAATGTGTGAGACTTGTTAACCTTCCAATGGAATCAGGGAGAATGGAGATCGCCGAATGATATAAATCCAACTCGATCAATGATTTTAGTTCTCCGATAGAGTCCGGAAGCTCATGTAGATGAAAGCAAAAAGTCAAAACCAAATGCTTGATATTTAACCTTCCAATAGAGCAAGGAAGTTGGTTGATACCACGATGCATTGGAATTGCAAACTTCGTCAAAGATTTTAGATTGCCTAGCGTCTCCGGAAGCTTAAACCGATTGTCTGAGTAGGGTATGATAATCTCTGACAAGCATTCTAGAGAACCGATTTCTTTGGGCAACCCCCTGAGGGATTCACATCCATTGATATTCAAAGTACTTAGCAATTTTAGCTTACCAATTGAGCTATCGATCGTAGACAATTTCTTACACCCTGCGAGAATCAATTTCTCCAACATGCGAAACGTTGAAAAATCAGGTGTCTTGGTTAACTTGTAGCACTGCGTCAAATCTAGAATTTTCAACTTTTTTGCCATCTGCAGTGGAAAAACAAAGGCGTATGACATGCTAACAAAAAGTATGAGACTATCAAGGTCAATTGATAGAATTTGAAGCGAACATGAATGAGGTGTGTTGGTACCTTGATTTGCCTCCATCCACCCCAGTCATCGGTGATCTTGCTCCTTGAAAGGTTGAGCACAACCAAATTCACCAGGTGAAGATTTGTTGCCGAAAAATTCAGCGGGCAATCACACCAAGAAAGCCATATCAGACTATGAAGAAGATTTTTGAAGTCGCCTACGAAATTCAGTCCTGCCCCTTCAAGGAACCTCAGCTTTGGCAAACAGGATATTTCTTCAGGTGTGAAATCATGATTGATACCCAAACTGAGTGCTTGTACGGCTCTTTTTTTCTGCCAGCAGCAACAGAGAATAAAGATGAGTGTGTAACATAGGAGTAAAAAACCAATGCAAGTAGTCAACAATATCAGTAGTTCTTCTTTGACCCTAAATTAATTAAATCAAACGCAAATTGTAACGAAATAATTGCTGCTCTTCTTTTTCACTTAAAATAAGACAAACCAAGCATGTTTAAAATGTCCTCTATCTTTTCACAAACTAAACACCTTTTCAAGAAAACAAAGCAGTCATTTTCATTCTCACTGAACCAAGAAATGAAAATTTTCAACTAACCTAACGGAGCGTTAGTTTTCTTCTCGTTTCACATGGGCAAGGCATGAAAACATATACTATTGTTCTTTAAGAGTTGCTTTCTATTTCTCTACCAGTTAGAAAACAAAGCAGGCCACCGATATTCTCAATTTAAAGAAAATGAATAAAGATTTTGCTGGATTGATTATATCTTCTACCCTTAATAACTTATACCTTGTTGCTCCTCAGTATGTCTAGAGTATTCTTATCAATCTGCACCCAACGGCGCTTTGCAGCATCTTCAATATTCTCTTCCTTGACAATGTACCTTCCTAGATCTCGAATTTCATCATGCATCCAGAAACAATTGTTTTTATCGATCTTTATCAACGACATGAGCAGAAGAACATCAATTGCGCTGTGTGGAAAATGGTTGATACTACGCCACATGTAGTCCGCATAAGTCTTATCCTCCCCGATGCAAAAACATGCTATGTCCAAGAATATGGCTCTTTCTGTGTTGTCCAATTTGTTGATACTTATCATTAGTGTTTCTCGGACATTATGAGGCGGGACTTGCTTTAACTTCTCCAATGTCTTGTCCCACTCGGATTTGACTGTGTTGGCGAAAAGAGAACCCACGGCTTCCAAAGTCAAAGGAAGCTTTCCTACACTTGAAACGACTTCTTTTGAGAATTTGTAGCAATCTTTCGAAGGAGTATTGCTTCTAAAAGCATGCTTACTGAAAAGCTGAATCGCTTGATCAAAAGCCATCTCCTTTACTGAGTAGTCCATGTAATTGCTAGGTCGCGTTTGGTTTTCTTTATTTCGTATTATCCTTAGGTCCCTGAGTGTGACAATGATCCTACTTCCACAACCAAACCAATCGCAGCTCCCTGCAAGGTTCTCGAGCTGCTTCTCCTTGTCCACATTATCAACAACAATCAGAACTTTCTTTTTGCGAAGTCCTCTTGTTATGCGATCAATCCCGTCGTTGGTGTCATAGATTTCTTGAGCAGAGTTTGACCCCAGTGTTTCAGATAATAGTTTCTTTTGCATGTCTAAAGGATGATGACTTTGGACATCTTCGAGGAAACTGCTGCAATTGAATTTAGATCGGAATCGATTGAAGATAACCCTAGCAAGAGTTGATTTACCAATACCGCCCGTCCCATGGATTATAACGAAACGTACATAGTCATCAGAGTCAACATCCAACAATTCCTCTATATATTCTAGGTCATCCGTTTCAACTAGATGGTCGGGAAGACGTCTGTTCTTCCCCTTCAGCTTAAGTAGAACCTCTCGAACAATTAGTTTTATAAGTTCACCATACCTGCCAACATAAGCTAAATATATTAAGAACGATTTACAAACGGTGGCTGTTTTTCAAATAAAAAATTTGAATCCACTTACATGTAATAATCTCAAGTCACAATGAAAATTATCTAAATTGTAAGGGGCCTGAATTAGTTGTTGGGGCTGCTGCCCAGATTCCCATTGGTTGGATTTAAACACTAACCACTGCCAAGCCTCTTATTGATTGCAGTGATTTAGAGGAAATGGAAAAGATTCCGAAGTTGATTGAAAGAAAGCAGTGGTTGGATTTTATGATTGTTTGTATGCTTACGAAAGGAAAAAATAGGAAATGAATGAAATTAGGTCATTTAATATTTGGTTGAAGAAGAAAAAAGAGTTGAAAGGAATGTAATTATATCTCTATGACTATTTTGTCCTACTTATTCATAGATTAAATAAACGAAAATTAAATTTAGTAACTTTGACATGTTAAATATTCAATATGAGCAATAATTAACTCATGTTATAGAATGCTCATTAACAAATTTTCACTTTACACATCATATCCAAGTCACCTCGCCAGATTTGGCGAGCTTGAGCCTCGCCCGAGGCCGGCAAGGTCGGCCCTCTCTTGTGGCCAGTCGCCGAGGCCCGGCCACCGGCGGAGGAAGAAAGAAAAAGAAAAATAAAAATAAAAAAGAAGAAAAAACTCAACTAAAATAAAAATTTTATTAAAAATTTGGATTATTTTTTAAATTGTAAAAATTGTTCACGTCAGTTCCGGCCGTGTCAATCGGACGGCAGGCATCCACGTCAGCAATTTTGGTAATTTTTCCGCCCGAATAGTGTGTCTATTAATTTTCCTTACTAAACGACAAAATATATTTTTTAGTTCATTTTTAGGTCTTAGGCAGCCAGCAGAAAATATTGTCATTTTACTGAAAAATAACTTCCCAAAAAATATTTTCCAAAAATGTTACATTTCGTAAACAAATGGAGCCTAAACTTCTCCCAATGTCAAATTAGTTATAAAGAAAGTGAGGGTGTGATGCAAGATTATTGCTTCTAATAACCATTTATGTAATAATTATTATGCTGAAAAATAATAAAGTTTTAATAACTATTACTCTACTTGGTTTGAAAATATAAATCTTTTACACCCTTTAATTTCATGAACAGCATATGTAATAAAGGAGGAATAGTATCAGAATTTCTAAAATACTCCTAAAATTAAAATTATAAAACATATGGGTGTTAATGCAACTAAACGTGCTCTTAATGTTTCACATGTTTTTTTTTTTTTAATTTTGCAAGAACCACCATTAAAAAACAAGAGAGAGCCGGGAGATTTTATAGATAAAATTCACCATCCATAGCAGACTGTATGGTTCCTTTAATAATATTAGAGAACTTGTAACCTGACCCGCGTGTTTCCTTTTCCACATAAAACTATTAAATTGTTCATTGTTGAAAACTAATTTTTGTTATGATAAGACTCACGAGAACCAATATACATATGAGAGCTATCGAAGTGTACTGTCGCTTCTAGTAACCATCCATGTAATAATTATTACGCTGAAATTTAATAGCTATTACTCTTTGGGTAAAACATATATATATATATGCCTTTTGGTTTCATGAATAAGATATGTAATAAAGGAATCATATTATCAAAATTTCCAAAATACTCCTACAATCATAATTATAGAACATAACGCTGTTACTGTGACTAAATGTGATGTTAATGTTTCATATTTTTTTGTTTTTTGCAAGAAGCACCATTAAAACCCGAGGGAGAGCGGTCAGATTTTACAGATAAAATTCACCATCCATAGCCGTCTATCTAGTTACTTTAATAATAGCCGGGTGTTTCCGTATATACATAAAACTAATAAATTGTTATTTGTTGAACACTAATTTTCATTAAAGCGAAGTTTGAAGATTGATCAAATATATAATTAGTTCGTATGCTAGTAGTACAAAATCAGTACGTTTAATCTACAATGAACAAGCATTAATATTTGTCTGTTTGTCGTTTCCACTTTTTTTTTTTCTAAATTGTTAAAAATTATTTCTTTTTCTGTTTTAAATTGTTTTACGTTTTTGACAACCAAACGGGACGCTAACTTTAGCATTCAACAACTTGACGATGACATAACATTCAAGTTAACTTTTTTCATCTAAGTAATAGAGAAATTAATAACTCGAAGACTAGATTGAATATGAGGTAAAAGTACAGAGATGATCCATACCTTAAATGTATAAGACGACCAATAAGAATTCATCTTAAATAAATATTTTCTTGATAAATTATATTAAAATTAATTACACGGAAAAGTTGTGGAAACTTACTCTTTTCCTTCCAGCTTCCAACCAACTCTAGTTGCAACCTCACGAAGAGCATGTCTCCAGCGCTTCACCTCATCGGGGTCATACTTCTCCTTCTCCTCCTCATGGCCATACTTCACCTTCTCCTTCTCAAGCTTAGACAGGGCACTACTGTACAATCCGGTACTGCTCTTGACATCCTCCGGCCTCACGTCGAAGAAAAGCGGGAGGATCTCCTTCTTCCCGTCCGACTTTGAAGTGCAATCGACCATACGGGCAACCTCACGGAGACACCACGCACTGGAAGCAAAGTCCTCAGAGAAGATGGGGATGTAGATTTGAGAGTCATCGAGGGCCCTCAAAAGCTCCTCAATCTTCTCACCGACTTGGAGCTCTTTGTCATCTTTAAAGACGCGGATTCCTTTCTCCACCATGTCATGGTAGAGGCAACTAGTAAAGCTGTCCCGAGTATCCGATCCCCTGAAACTCAGGAACACCTCGAACTCCATTCCTGATGTGTCAATGGAGGGTGCCATCACAAGTAGCAAACCGGACTTTAGACAGAATCGAGCTGAACGAAAATTGTCAATGACCATGCTTGAGGCGAGACATCAATTGAGGGCAGTTTAAAAACAAAAGAAGAAAGAAAAAACAGGAGTGGGTGTGGTCAGTCACGACTCACAGCCATCAATCAGCGATGGCAGACTGCCAAAGAAATCAAAATCACAGCACACCGAAATCGAAACATTCCAAGAAGAGATCGAAAACGAAACCGACATAAAGAGGGAGTACCTAGTGGGCTGATTGACGGCCAACAGACAAAGGCGACGCCGCAATCCACGAGATCGAGAGAGAGACCAGACGAGACGGCGGCTCAGGCGAGACTAGAGAGAGAGAAAGAAACGAAGGGCGCCGCTGGAGAGACGAGAGAGTGGCCAGATCTGAGGAGCGTGAAGTAGAAAGGATACGGCGTTCTTAAATTTAAGACAACTTAGGGTTTGGTTTTAAACCGGTTAAACCGGTTTTAACTGAGAACCGGTTTCGAAATCAGTTCCGAACCGGTTTCACCCTAGAACTGATTTTGCAAGGCCGGGGAGGCGTGCTCGTTTTTAGCATTTTGTTACGGATACGAGTTGTCTTCTTCATGGGCGTTATTGGAAGATTTTACGGATGATCCCTCCATATGATTAATTATTTTTTCATGGAAAAAGATATATAAACTCGGTAATCTTTTAGTTTGAATGTTCCATGTAAGGAGAACTTGTTGTGAGAAATTCACTCTGAGATAATATCATTAAAGTTATTGAACAAATGTAAAAAAATCTGCAGGTGCTGAATTTGTGTAGCAACAAAAATATAATGTATAACATCGAGACAGGAGACCATTATTATCCAACTAGTTGAAGTTCCCTACGTTGCAACGGACTGAAGTGAGTTCTTCGAATATTTGCTTTGGAGATATATGGTGTAATTTTACGAAGTGAGCATTCATTTATCAACCAATCAAGACAATTTTATTACCAACGTATGAATCTTTAGTTTAGCCATGCTAATAAAACAAAACCTTAGCAATACTTAACAGACTTCAAAATTTGATTCTTACGGTTCAGACACTCCCAAGTCTTCCAATTAGTCATGGCCACGGTTCGGAACCGACCGGTTCCGGTTCGTGGCCAAGTATGAACCGGAACCGGGCGGTTCCCGTTCCGGTTCGGAACCGGTTCATATTTTTCTTTTCTGTTTTTGTCTTTTCCTTTTCCTTTTCTTTTTTTTTTTCTTTTCTTCCTCCGCCGGCCATAGCCGGGGCCGGCGGAGGTCGCGGCCTCAAGCGAGGCCGTCCTCGCCGGCTTCGGGGGAGGGCCGCCCTCGCGGCGTCGGGCAAGGGCCGCCCTTGCTCGGGCCGGGCGAGGCCGGCCGCCAGACGGGCGAGGGCTCGACTCGCCGGTGTCGGGCGAGGCGGCCGCCGCCCGCAACCGGGCGAGGCCGGCCTCCTCGAGGCCGGCGAGGTCGAACCCTCACTCAGATCCGGGCGAGGCTCGACCTCGTCGGCGCCGGGCGAGGCCGACTCGCCCGAATCGGCGGCCGGCCTCGCCCGACGCCGACGAGGCTCGACCTCGCTCGCAACCGGGCGAGGCCGGCCTCGCCCGACGCCGGCGAGGTCGAGCCTCGCCAGAGGTCTGCAGCTTTCTTCTACTTCTTTTTTTTTTTTTTTTGTGGAACTGGGCCCGGAACCGGCGGTTTCGGGCCGGTTAAAAAATTTCTGGAACCGGAACCGGGCCCGTAGGGCACGGGCCAGTTCCGGTTCCAAACCGCGGGCCCAGTCAACGGGCCGGGCCCAGGTTTGATCGGGCCTGTTCCGGGCCAAAATCGGCCCGTGGCCATGACTACTTCCAATGTTATGAAATTTCTTATCATGTGGATGCAGACCTTGACTTGGTAGCCATTGGCCCTTCAAGGCCTTTGCCAAGTACTAGCATCATGTCTTGATTTCACCTTCTCATTTCCTTGCATTTACTTCATCATGAAAGAGTCTATGAATATCGTATTTCCTAGCCACTAAAGATGCGAATGATAACCATTAAAATTGAGAACCGGGGACTCAACCGGTCCGGTCCAATAAAACTGGTCACTTAGAATTTAGTTCACATTTTATTAATTTTTGTTAATGAAGTTCACTTAGGGTTTAGTTCACATTTTATTTCTTTGAAGAAATAAAAAAAATAAAAAAATATATATGTAACCTGTTCGGTTCGGTCGATCTGGTTCGACCCAGTTGCCCTTGGAATCGAGAATTGGACCACCCGGACACTGGTTCCACTTTCAGGAATCGGGAACGGGACTGACACTCTTAGGAATCGGATCCAATCGACCAATTTGGTCCGGTCCGGGTGGTTTTCAGTTTGGACAATCCGTTTTACACACCCCTAGATAAGAGGAAACACAGATTTCACTTCTACTTCAAACTTGATACATAGGAAACTAAATATCAGGATAATAACAAATGGCGGTTATAAAAATCCTAGTTTGATTCCCATCTTACATCGGTCTCTCCCATCGAGAAGAACTTCGCTAATGATGGGTTTTCCAACGCATCTCTTTTCTTGATTTGGCCTATCCTTCTGCCAGCTGCAGATTAGCAACAAAGACAGCATATTGGTTGTGAGGACAAATATGCACACCGACAAGCGCAGGGAAATCGAAAACGCGTGGAATAGGATCGCTATTTTCAAGCCATATCCATATGGAATGAGCAGATGAAGCTTCCCCTCAACTCCTTGTGAAAGTAGCCCCCATGGAAAACGCAAGGAGACTGAAAACGCTTGGCCCGACTCTATTATATTTAGGAAAAAGCAAAAGGGGAGACACGTGCATGACTTTATCTCTTTTGTGTTTTTCCGCAACCTTTCCCTTTTTTCTTTTTTTGACGATTCAACTCAATTGCGAGTAAATGCACGAAGCATACGTATAAGACGAGAGGAAGGCGGCACGAAGACTTCTGCAATAGGGTTCGAAACTTCTTGAGGCTTCTTAGTTGCTTGGATGTTAAGTTGAAAATGAGAAGAAATTGTGGGGTCAGGGAAATAAAATGAATTTGCAACGTTTTTTAGAGGAAATTGTGAGGAAATTGAGGCTTCTTAGTTAATTGGATATTAAGTTGAAGAGTTTTGCAATGGCGAAGCCGCAAGCTGCGAGATCGAGAGAGAGAGACAGCGACTCAGGCAAGACTCGAGAGAGAGAGATCGAAGGTGGCAGCTGTAGAGACTACAGAGAGAGAGAGAGAGAGAGAGGGGCCAGATCTGGGGGAGAGAACTAGAAAGTAGAGTGTGTTTTAAATTTAACATCTTGGGGTATGGTTTTTCAATTGGTCCAAGAACCGATTTAGAAGACCGGAGTGGCAGACTTTTTTTGTTACGGATGTGAGTTGTCCTCTTCATGGGTGTAACTTGAAGATTTTACTGATAGCCAAATACAGAGGGAGAACCATAAGAAGTACCCAGGAAGAGCTTCTATAATTTAATAACGTGCTATCAGGGGCTTACGCATATGATCCACCTAGTAATCTCTATGCATAGAGTAGCTTGATGTGGCAACCATTATCAGGCAGAGGAGTTCGATGTGAACTTGAGAAGGACAATAATGCAATTGAAAAGGGTGAAACGAAAAAACAAGGAAACCCTCGCATGTGCATACTTTATGGAAGCAAAGCAATAGTTTAAAAAGAAGTTGAACGGAGTTATGAAGTTTCTCAAAAATGCCAAACAACTTTATAGAAACTGGGTCGGAAGGTGCCTTTGCTTGTCCTAAAATAAATAAATCAAAATCAAAATCAACCTGCCTTTTCGGTGAAGCACATAAAATTCGCTGGTGGGTTGTCCATTTTTCAACTTTAACCATGAAAAAGGGCATCCTGAAAAACACAAACACAATTAAAGGAGGTGACACGAAAGTAGATTTAGGCAGTGGGATTATATCACGACTCATGAAAATTGGTTGGATGCTTTCAAAGAATCAAATACTTAATACCAAACAATATAAAGCTTGTATATGTATATATCTCTATGCCTGCACGTGATTTGGTTCGCGTTTAGTTCTATCCATTTTCCAGTATAAGCTAATCTCTTTGAAAGCGAAAAAAACGATGACTATATATGTGCAAATATTCTAGAATCCTCAAGAGAGAGAAGAGAGAGAGAGAGAGAGAGAGAGAGAGAGAGAGAGAGAGAGAGAGAGAGAGAGAGAGGGAGGGAGGAGTCATAGGCTACATCTTCAGGAGGAACAATTACTCCCTTTAATCAGTCTACATCTCTGACTGGAGGTAAAAACTCTCATTTTCCATAAGCTCATTGAATCGACATGACATTCTAAAAAATCAAGCTATCCTATTCAACATTTTACTGGATGAATAGAAGGATGAAGGACAAAGAAAATGAAGTGCAGGCTCTGCTCATGGACATTATAAAGAGAATGGAGAAAGCGACGAAGTGGGGGCAGTTCCGTTGTCTCCAATTTTTTTCAAATTATTTTGGTTTTTCTAAACTTTTTTAATTTTTTTTAAAATTTTTTGAATTTTCCTGACATAACGCTACATTAGCGCCACATTAGAGCCATTTATGCAAAAAGAAATTACAAAACGCCAAGTCAAATTTTGGCATGCACGTTAGCAAATTGGTTGTGAGCTTGCCGAATCGATTAAATTGCACTTAATAAATAACGTTTAGGACTTGATTGCACGAATTCAAAATTTAGCACTTGTTTGCATATTCAACCAAATGGTCAGGATTGTTGGTGTAATTTTCCCTCATAAAAACCTAAAACGAGAATCTAGTTTGATAAGGAAACCAAATATTATAATTTGACGTCCATCCTACATTGGTCTCTCCCACTGAGAAGAACTCTACTACTCCCGGGCTTGCCAAAGCATTTCTTTTCTTGTTTTGGCCTATTTATCCATAGTTATAGAAGAAACTTTTAGATTAGCAGCGAAATTGGCATATTGGCTGTGAGGACAAATTTTCACACCGACAAGCGGCTAGCA